ATCCGAACCCTCGGGCGGGAGCGCCGCCGCGCTTCCCAAGCGGCGCACTATCCAGTGCGCCACCGGGCCGGCCCTCAACTATACTTCTAATGTATAGTTGTAACAATGATAACAATAGTGACAAACCTAAAAAGAGAGGTGTTTTTATTTTAACCTTAGATATAATCCCTAGATAAATCTCATTCCTTAGAAGGAGTAATCCTTACCAAGATGTTTACTATAAACAGGCTGGGTAGAGTCTGTTGCCTTTGGAGATAGTATGCAGGTTTTTCCCCCCATCTTATTCCGTATTTTTAAAAAATTTTACTATATGTACAAGATGTATGGCTATTTCAGAAATACATACCAGTAGATGCCAAGAGTAGATGATTTGGTATTAAGATAGATGCAAGCATTGGACCAGATGGAGAGTATCAGACTTGTAGGAGTTCTTCTAGCCTAGTGCCTTGACGATTAGCAAAGGCAAGAGGATAGGGAGGGAGGATGCACAGAATTTTGACAAGAGTAGATATATACTTGTCAACACAAAGTTTAAAGCAGAGGTTTGTGCCTCTGTGTATAGCATCTGCCTAGTAAGCCCCTGAACAGGAAAGAAAAGCTTCATTATGCAAGACTTAAATTCTGATTCATTCAACAGTATGGTCTTCAGGAATGGAAGGCACCCTTGTGAACATGGGGCTGAGAGTAAAATGGTTTTTAACTAATGTAATTAAAACACAAAATGAGATTTTTGGCCATGTGAAAGCTAGCTGTAGTGCCGTGTGAAACCTCTTGCCTTGATCTTTCTCTCCTGCTTTCTCTCTGCTCTCATTCTGTGTTTGAGCGAATGGAGACTGGGGGAATAGTGAAGTCCCAAAGGGACAGAGCTCTGTTCTTGCTGAAATTACAAGCACAGAGCTGCCTGGGCATGAACATGTAGTGTTTACTCTGCCAGTATGAATACAAATAGTCTTATTATACGGGACTCTGTACCCAAAGACCCCCCCAATCCCCCACGCACACACACATACGCGCTCACACACAAGAATAAAAAAAAAAATTAAAGGTTTTTTTTAACCCTTTTCAGACCTAACGAAACTTGGTGGAAAAGGGAGGTCTTAAACAACTATGTAGGACTATAGCTATGAGTAGTAGATCTAGTATAGGGACCATACGTTTTTCTTTGCCCTGTGCTTTAATAGTTTTAAAGCCAGAAAGCCAATAACGTTTGTGGGGTGTTTTTGTTTTTTTTGGTGGCTGGCCAGTATGGGAATCCAGACTCTCGACCTTGGTGTTACAACACCATGCTCCAACCTACTGAGCTAACCATCCAGGCCTAATAGTATTTGTTTAAAAATTCTCACTTTCTTATTCTATACTCTTCCCTCCTTGGTTGCCTGTTTTCTTTGTTCTCTTTTCCTTTTTTTCAAATGATTGACTAGGATTGAAGCTGAGTGTTAGCTTGCCATTTCTGAGCCTTTGAGCTTGGGAGGAGTGAAACTGATGTTCTTTTGTGAGCAGTTAGTGACTAATGCCCAGGATGGCTGGTGAAGTCAGTCAGTGGCCTTAGCTAGATTATAAGGCACTGCATGACAGGAATGAGGTTGTGGTATTAGTATCAAACTCTGCTACCAATAACTTGAACATACAATGGAGCATGTCCACTCAGAGACTGACCAATCTAAGTATGGAGTTTCAGCAGTCAGAACTCTGAGGGACAGCTGTGCCTAACAGATGACGAGGTGTCAGGAGGATATATTTCCTCATGCTGCACCCAGTTTTATCAGGGCAAGTTGACTTTCAGCTATTGCAGTTTAATTTTCTTTGGCCAAAGAGACAAGTTTGTCATGAGCCTGGCACTCTACATATTATCCCAAGAATGATGTGAGACGAACGAAAAGAGCTCATGCTGATGAGATTTGGAGCAAATCTGTTCTGTCCCAAAGAGAACAGGCATCTGAACAGAGCCTTGAGAAGTAGTTTTATTAAAAAAGGAATAAAAAATTGACTTGTTAATGTTCTGAGAGCCAAGGCTCAACGTAAATGCATTGATGCTAGTACGTAGACATTAAATCATCATAAAGTGGTGTTCTCCAAAAGTGACGGCTCTACCATTTCATCATTGTGGGTGGTACTGCATTACCTTGAAAAATTGGAGTTTCCGGGTTTAAAAGCTAGCACATGGATATTTGGAATAAGGGTAAAACAAGAGATGCCTTTCCCCTCGATCAAAGGCAGAAAACCTGCACTTATCAGAACATCGGCTATATGGGTGGCCAGTCTTTTTTCCCCATTTTTTTTCCAGGACAATAAATAGGTAAAATAGTGATGGGACCAGGACTCAGACCAATTCAGTTCCATTTAGTTTTAGGTAACTTGTTTGCCATTTGAGGAAGAATATTGGCTATTTCAGCAGAGATGTGACCTGCATTTTGAACATTTTTGCCTGTGTTAAGAAAAGAGAGCTTTTCTGATGCGGTGTTAGTCACTTTCTCCTTTCTATTTTCCTAGTTGTCCCTTCCCCATAAAAAAAGATGTAACTAAAGGAATGCCACCTAATGCATGATGAAAGGTATAGGAGAACCCATTTTTCTCATTGTTAGATTTGATTGGCATTGCATTTAGTATGAATTTAGAGTAGGAATAAAAAAGATGTAGACCAAATCTGTGAACTACGTTGCTTGCAAATAGCTCTAAAGATGAGTTGTCCAGGATTTTTCTTAATAGTTTCAAGTAAAGATGAAAATTGAGGAAAATGTGATTGCAACATAGACTAAACTGATTTCATTTCTAGCTGCTGTGATGCTACAGTGACGGGCAGTGTATGTAAATACCCACTAGATGAATGTGTGCTGTTGAGCCTAGATACAGAAGAAATACAGCTATCAAACAGTACTACTTTACCACTTCTTGATTTTGGAGGAATTGTTTTCATTTTCTGCCAGTTTGCTAACCTGCTCTGATCATTTGTGGAAGCTATAATTGCAGGTGGGAACATTTTGAGTAACAGCTCGCAATCCAGTGCAGCTGCTTTTCACACTAAATCCCGTTATTAAAAAGCTCAGGCTAAGATCAGGCCAAGGGCTGTAACGGACCTGACAGAGAACAGCTCAACTTTCTGTGGCAGAATAAAGAATACACTAGCCTTCTTGAGACTATGTTCGTATTTTTTCCAAAATAAGTTATTAGCATTCTTTTCCTTTATTTCTTTGTAACAGCTCTGGGAACTAGATCAAGAATCACTAAATCAGACAATGATGAAAGAGATGATAGTCAACTTTCATAGTAATTTTAGTGCTGGTAGAAATTAGGACCCTGTTTTCCTTACCATTTCAGAACATGGGCCATCATATCACTCCTGTCATAATGAAAAGCTGTGTTTAGAAGCAGCTATAATAATTAGGTACAGGATGTGTACCCAGAAAAGAATTGGTAATCAGAGACTAGA